TTTTTTCTAGGTGTTTTGAGTTTTGTTTGGTTTTTTTCCCTTCTAAGGTATAAGAAGGAAGTGGAAGGGAAAAGAAATGGATGCTCACTCGTTAGTTTAAGCTCTTCTAATGAGAGATGCCACGGATTAACGCTAAAGAACAAATTCTTGTAGCTGGAGAAACTTGCAGAAGATGTTTCCTAAGATGTTTCTTCTTCAGCTTGCCTGCCCTGTGTGAGCCCTGTGGCTCAAATATCTTGACCTTCCAAGTTTGGTTAGCTCAGCTAGGTTGAGGAAGAACATCTGGAGTATTTTTGTTTTGAGATGTAACTTGTTCTCGTTTTCTTAAAGTGTGGCAAAAGATTTAAAATGCCTCACAGAACTTGTGTTTCTTTGAAATACTTACAAGGAAGTGTTACAAAAGCGCTCCATCCAAAGTTATGAAACACATTTTTATGTTAAAGGTATTAAGGCAGCCAATTAAATCAGGCATTTTATGAAAGTTACACTAGCTGTCATTTTAAGGGTTGTGTCAAATGCAGAATTAAAAAAAAGTTTTATAAGCACAGCAGTGAATAATTCTTTGGAAAATCCCCCAAGACTACTGCTGATAAAAAAACATGGTGTAGGAAATAATTGAAAATATGTTCTATTTGAGGATTTTTGGCTCTTAAAAATGCAGAAGACAGAAAGAATCAGACATGGGGGAAGAAGTTACTTGTGATATTTAAGGCTATAAAGGTAATTCCAATTCACTCAATAAACCAGATCTGACATGTTGTGTGAGAGCAAGGCCCACAGATTCTGTCCTTATTTTCCGTGATGTTGGCTACTATAATCCAGCAAACAAACCAAATTCGTCCCCTGATTTCCTCTCTGATGATTACTACAAATCTCTTTCTTTTGTATCTTCATGGTTTTCCTTTTCTGTCATGAAGCAACAGAAGCTTTTTATTTCTTTTTTATTTTTTTGAAGCAGATTTTTCTGCCCCCTGCTGTGATCCCATCAAGAGGCTGGAGTCCGTGTTAGTGGTACAAGTTGAGTTTGTGTCCTGAGACGGTGGGTGGCCCAGGCCACATGTACTTCTCACACTTTTGCAGGCTTTTATGGTAGTTTCTTTCCCACAACACTTGGAAGATTTTTCAGGTACTGAAAAATACTCGAAAGTGTACAGCTCTGAATACACTTGGATCATATTTTCGGCATTTTCTTACTTGTGATGTTCTCTCTTGCGTGCTCGCTCGGCTGAACTGATTCCTGATTGCAGGATGGGACCTTTGGATCTTCTTTAAAAGCCTGATCTCTTCACGGGTATTATGGAGCTGGAAATAGACGGTAGTAGCTGAGTCATGTGCTTTATGGGTAAAAGGCAGTATACAGCAGAGGCCTTTATATGGCTCTCAAGTCCAAATTTATTTCTGACAAATATGCAAGAAGTACTTGAAGCTTTCTAGTTCCCCCGGTGAAATGAATGCTAAGTAAAAAGGCTGTTCTCGTGAAATGGGTGTGTAAGAGATACACTGCCAGAAACTTTTAGATGTCAAGTGGAAAATGCTCAGAAATCCGTTGCAAAATTGTGGTTAATTTGTTGCTGCCTAGAAAACTGGCAGAATGGTCAAGCAAGGAAGCCTGACGGGCAGCGCTGGCCCACCTCAGCTCTGCCCTCAGCCGTGTGCTGCCATGGGTGGCCCTGTGCTGGCATCAGGGGTCATTTGACACTGGAAAGGAGCTAAGCCATGAGAAAACAAATGCTGTCGTAAAAAACCAAACCAAAGTCGTATTCTGTTGGTGTAGCTCCTTGAATGAACTTGCAGGAGAATCTGCTGTTTTATCAGAGATCTTTAAGCTCTGAGCAGCAAGGGTGGGTGGTCCACGGCACCCAGGAGAAGGGAGCAGGGAATGGGCTCTCCCTACCTGTTTGCAGTGACCGCTTAAGAAATCGGCGAGTTCTCTCCTATGATCTTGCATTAAAATTTCTGAATTCTTCCTATAGTAGCCTGTATGGCAACAAATCTCATTGTTTTGGAATATGTCTTTAGTTTTTTGCTGTTAAGATCCACAATAGCATCTCATAGGTTACTTTAATTAATCCTAACTATTCTTTTCAGTTGGCTGATGATCAAGGTATTGGCATAAGAGTTTGTTCATAAAAGTGCCATCTATGTTTCTGCTTTTCTGGGTAGCTTGTATATTAAAAATTAATCCCTGCTCTCTTCCAGAGGCATTTGCTTTTAGGAGTATTGGGATATCTGTGTAATGATCTTGTATTCGGATGAAAAAAACTTAACAATTAAAGTTTTCTAGTTTACATAATTAGTAAGAATTGATTGATTTCTACTGTGGATTTCATGTGTGTGTGTGTATATATATATATATGAACTATATATATGTAATTCTGGCTTCTGAATACCAGATGCAGGAACCCGTACAAAAAGAATTGGTTCTTAATAATCTGGAGTGATGTCTCATGTAGCAGATTTAGCAATAATTAAGCTACTAATCATTTGGGGCTGCAAGTGGAGACTAAAATCAGCTTAGTTTGGGCTTTATGCCTTCTAAAAGTCTAGATATGTTGCTCAGACCCCAGTGAGGGTTTGGGGACAATATCTGTTTTTTTCCTATGTCATATCCACATATGTAATCTTATTTGTAGTTTATATATTTATTTGATATATAAAATACTAGAAGAATTGTCAGCAAACAATGAAGAGTTGACTGTTTTACATGATTTTGATGGCTTCAATAATTGTGTATTTTTGATTTTGCATTTTAGGAAATAAAATAATGGTAATGAGGCAACTATTTCCCTGAAATTCAAATTGTCAGAGTCACTGCCATTATGGGTAAGTCTTATATGTAACATATATGAAAATTTAATTTGGACGCTTTTCATTTCTACTGAAGACGAAAAACATGAATATAATCCCATTCTTAGGAAATACGTGCTTTGGCTGTATAAGTCAGTGTAACATCTCCATGATGTTACAGCTGCTTTGCTGAACAAATACTTCTTTTTTTTTTCCCCCATTGGTATATAGCACTGTTCCTTTGCTATTTGGTAACTTAAAAATCCAAGTGTAGTGAATTGATATTCACAGTATTAGGGTACTGAGCAATATTTACTGTGCTCTAAATGGTAAGGGCTATTGGGTGGGGGAAAAATCTCACAAAGTCTATATTAAAGGATTTTATTGTATTGACTCGAGTGACTGCAGTGCAAAGCCAGGCTGTGTAGATGGTCTAACTGTGTGTTTCTAAATATGTAGCATATTTGTATCGCTTAAATTTGATTTTTCAAGTTGTACGTGCTTTTTGATGAGTTGGCCAGATAGTTATAGTAATCACTTAGTCCTTGCTCTCAGAAACTCCCCCCAAAACCAAAACACACACACTTTTTATTGCCTTTCTTTATCTTTTGTTGTTATGCAACTTTTTTTTTTTCCTAACGTCATTCTTAATAACAGAGTAGCTTAATCTGGGAACACAGCACTCTAGATTTCTCATTCTCCACCATTTTATGAGAGAAATTACTATTGAGTCATACTGAATATTCAGTTAACTTTAGATGCTTTGCCTCAGTGCTCTGGTTTTCTTTGAATGCAGTCTGACTACCTAGTGATCATTGGGAATTAAACCTTCTCTGACCAACTGCTGAAAGAACAATTTTATTTATTTATTTTAATCACTGAGCACTAGAGTAGCCTATATAACATGACAGACATTTTTTAATTGTGGCAAATTTTGAAGTGTGTTTTAGTATGAGAAAGGAATAACTGAGCTGCAAGAATGCCTTCAGTGCTGCAATTAAATATTGCTAGTAAAACTTGCTTTTATAGATTTGCATATCTTAGACTTACGAATAATGAAAGCATGCGTGAGGATCAAAGTTACTCCTTTTCGGAGCAGCTTTCTGATCTGTTAGGAATCTATTAAATTAAAGCACTGAAATCCCACAGTTCCCTGATGCGACAAATGTATCTGGTTGTATTTGAATAGAGTGTGAAGGACTTCTCATCACTGCTGAATACCTGCAGTGCTTGCGTGCTGATTTGAACGCTGAGTTTTTCTCAGGTCCAGGTTTGAGAAACACTGTGTGTAAATCACAGCGCTTAGCAATGAGTCCTTCAACAGGCACATCTCCTATAAAGCAGCGCGAAGGCAGGCACTCGACACCTTTACAGATAAATTTTGTTACCCACTGTTCCAGATGCCCGGTGACTATAGTAGCTTTGCAGTGGCAAAAGAGTTAATACAAAATATTAGCGATAGTTTCCCATAATGATGGATGTGTACAGGCTTCGGAGTTCCTAAGCGCGTCCCAGTGCCAGGGGAAGCCTTGTCTGGCGCAGCCCCCGGCCATCACAGCTGCAGCAGCTCCTCCTCAGGATTTAGGATTTTGTGTAAACCTGAAATGTAAGCTGCATGTCACTCCTGCCCCTGAATTGTCCCCTGAGTTCAGTGCTTATATTTCTCCTTGTCCTGGAAAAAGTTCTGTGAGGTTTTGTCTTTTGTTTTTTGGGTTTTTTATTACTCTGTGGGCTGTCAGCAGATGCTCAGAAAGTAGAGGTGTCCTCTGGGAGTTTTTGTATGCTTCCTAGGTGCAGGAGCCTTCTTTATTTTATGAATTGCGGTGAGGAAGTATGACTTCTAGTTAACATCTCATCTGTGGAAATTATCTGAGACAAAGTAGACAAACTTCTTTTTTCCCCGCTATTCTCATGTTAGTACAGCCTTATTTTGAGTTGTCCGTATCTGTTATGACTTCATTTTTTTAAACCTGCCATTTAAGTGTGTTTACTGATTAAGCAGTTTATTTCCTTAAGCACTGTTAATGATAAATAAAAGTGTTTGCAACATGGCAGTAATTATATTTCATTTGACAATTATGTATTGAAGCGTAACATGGACTTCTAGATTTTAGAATAGTGCCTGCCTGATTGTGGAATGAAACAGTAACACACTTCAAATGTAACAGACATTTACACTTCTCTTATCTGGCCTTTTCCTCTGAGCAGATGAGCAGCAAGCTTTGAATTCAATCATGCAGGATTTGGCTGTACTTCATAAGGCCAGTCGTCCTGTATTGCCACAGCAAGAAACAGGAAAACCAAAGTCATCTTCACCTAAAAAACAGGTAATCTTTAATATCTTTGCTAACCTATTGAACACAAAGTGTCCTGCTGTGACTTCTATAATTATTTTTCTTGACAGACCAGTGAGCATACTGGAATGAGCTATTAGTCTCCCACATATGCTGCTGTTTTCTTTGTTCATGTTCTTAAATTAGCAGCAAAATGAAATAGTGGCATTTCAGACCGCTTAAAAGACTCCTACCCTGATAAACTGAAGGTTATAGGGGTACTTTGAAAGTGAATGTAGATTGACATATTTATTTATTTATTTGATACTAGACTATTTTTAAATATTTAAGTGTGCTAGTATCTCGTATCTGGAATACTTCTTTAGAATGAGTTTTATAGGTATATTGGATTGCCCGGTTGTCAGCTGTATCGTACTAAAGAATGTCAAGACAGCAGCAGAAATGTACTTAAGCTCCTTTACTGCATCGTTGGCCTTGACTTTTTGTTTGTTCATGTGCTGGAAATGTGAGCTCTCCTCACGTGTATTTTTTTTCTGCAGACACTCAACACAGAAAAGTAGTAAATACTTGGTTGATAAGTTTGAAATATAGAGAGATGAGGAGAGGAGAGGATGTAGAATCTTACTCAAGTTATTGTAATAACCCTGCTGAGTTAATTTTATATTTATTTGATGGGACCCTTTAATTGACAGTCCAGTATTTCTTGAAACTTCAGTGTGTGCAGTCTTGTTTTAAGCTGTTCAAGTATTTGAATATATTTGGCTCTTAAACTGTCAAAACCCAATGGCTATGACTTTTTCATTCCGTGCTTGAAACGCTGTGAGAGGTCAGTGTGTACCGCTGGTGCTTTGGTCGTGTCACAGAACTCCCTTCCGAGTCGTGACTTTAGACGTTGCAGAAATGTGCAGATGTGATCCAGTATGGATATAATACAAGTTTAGAAAATTAGAAGAAAAATAGTTGAGCTATTTCTGTGTTTTAAATGTGGTAGTAGTGAGGGGGAAATGCTTGTTTGTCATTCTGTTTATATTTGTGTTTTGAAAGTAATCACTTGTGGATGAAGTAATTCTTTTGGAAGATACGACATGTTGTTTAGATATCTGTGGTTGAACACATCTTTTTTCTCTTTTTCCTGCAATAATTGCTAAATACAATTTGAATCTTAAAATCATGGGTTTGCAAAACAGTTTTATGCATGTAACTGCAGATATTTACAGGGGTTTTGTTATTGGGAAACTGATTGCATGAATGCTGACTTAATTACTTGTGTGGGTTTCTGTGGTAACGTGTATGAAACGAGATACGTCTCTTAAGCCTGGAGTGCTCAGCTCCAAAGTGCAGCTGACAACCTGTTACGGTGAGTAAATCTACCTGCCTGCTCATGGTAGACAGTTCTTTGGTAATCAGTTCCACGCTGAATCTGAAATAATCAATATAGTGATAGAAATAAAAATCATGAACATAGTGATAGAAAATAATTTGTTGTACTCCGGAAATTTTTTGGTACTTTTTACAGACTTTAAGTCTCTATCAGATCTCAGCAGAAGTAGCTCGTTAACGTGCTGGGTATATCGGAAAGGACAGAAAATTCATATGAACTGCTTAAAGATTTTACTTCTGCTGTAGAATTACTGAGTGAGATTTTATGGCCTTTGTTAAAGGAAGTGGTAACAAACTCTTAGTGATTCCTTTATCTCTTTTCTTACAGAACGATGTTAGAGTCAAATTTGAGCATCGAGGTGAAAAAAGGTAAGGTGGGAACACAGGAAACAGTCTTTTATTTATATAATTTTCTTGGACTCCCACCACAAAATTTTAAAAAAAGGGTTTAAAGTTTTTTAGACATCTGAATGTATTTGGTGTGAACTTAAATCTAATTTTGGTATGAACACAACTGAAGGAGAATCATTGTGTTTAAAATGTGGGCTCTGAGGATATGTAAATGCAGAAGTGTCTTACCGTCGGTATGGCCCATGTAATATCCTTTGTTTACCCTTCAGCTACGTGTTTGTAGCCCAGAACAATTAGTTAGATGATTAGCATAGATCTCAAATATGAGTAGAGCAGCAAATGATTTTTTTTTCCTGCATCATGTGCATAATAAATGCATGATAATATAATGTTACTGGAACACCCAGAGGAAGCAGCCTAGATCTTACAGCTCAGTATTGGATTGTACTTTGGAGGAACCAGTCCAAGAGCTGTAATAGGACAATTTATTAGACTTTATAATTAGATTGGTTTCAGTGATAATTTTGAAAAATCAGTTAAAATTTATTTTCATTTTGTTTATGAGGTGAATGATGTGCAAGCTTAAAGTATACAAACATCTGTACATGTCTCTGCTTTGATGGCTGCTCCAAAGCTTTTACAGAAGTTGATCTGTAGGTCCATGCGGAACTGGTTTGCGGACAACTGGTTTTGGCTGTTTGTCTCTTTCTGAAGGCATAAACCTTCATTATATCTGCAGACAAATCGAATTATAGAGTAAGGTCTTTGAAAATACTTAAAGAAAAGGGAAATAATATCCTGGTCACACTATTTGCCAATAAAAATTAAGTAAAGATTGCTTCGGAATGAAACCTGTGCTACTCCTGGGCAGTCCTCAGTGTGATGTGCTGTAGATGGGTGTTCCCTAGGTGTTAAAATCTTCTTATTTTTGTCGCTTTTCTGAACATCACATATGACAGTGCATCGGTTGAGTGCTCTAGATAATTTGGAGGAAATAAGTCTTCTCAAAAGCTTTGAAAATCAAAGACTTTTCTACCTAACAGTTCCTTGTGAAATAAGCGGAAGCGTGAATTTAAAACAGAGAACTGTTTACGCGCTGCCAGTGTGCACACAGTGGGCCAAGTTAATCAGCTCAGTGTTAATACAGGCATAAAGTAAGTGCGTGGAAGGATACCTTTCCCAAACTTTTCTGCTGGTGGACCTGGCTCTGTTTTGGTCTCTCGCAAGTAACTTGAGCCTGCTTGCCCAGGGCTACCAGGCAGCTCAGGCTCATTGCTCAGCATGAGTTATAATGCTTCTGTTGCCTGAGCATGTAGATCTAAAGATAAAATAATGAAATTATGCAAGAAAAGTAAGTTACACAATGGCTTTTTCACTACTTTTTGAAAAGGGAAGTGGAAAAGAGAAGTGATTCCAGAGTTTCTTTCAATAGTGAATGTGGCACTCTGTACCAAGGAGCATGGACTGTGATGGGCAGTTCCAGGCTTGCTGACTAAATTAACTATGGTGACAATTAGTATTGGGTTTGGTGTTTTTTTTTAAGATTGTATTTTTTCAATATATTTAATTGGAAGTCGCCTGGCTTCTGGCCTCCTTGCTTCAGTGGCAAATACTGTTCCCTAACCAGTGTACACTGAAACACTGATAAAAGGGACAGTTACTCTTTACTAATTTTCCTACTTCGTGAAATTTGAGTGCTATTTCTATTTTGAATGTGAATTGAATGTACCTCACTTAGTCGCTTGTAAAAATTCCTTGTGGTAAAGATGGTGACATTTAGTTACCTTTCTCAGATAAGCTGGTCTTGAATTTCCAAAAAATGGTGACTGTAGGAATAATTCCTTTCCGATGCCTATGCTTGTCAGACTGTGGTACTCCATTGTCTTAGTTTTCTGAAATAGAAAATTTTAGAAGTTTCTAAGAATTTGCCTCTGGAATGGAGGCATGCAAACCAGTAAGAGGCCATGTGCAAGCAAGTAAAATAGTCCTAAGGACATCTAATTTATGTGTGATCATCACAAGTTTTTCACTGCTTTTCTCTCTTTTTTTAATGACTTAGAATATGGAGGACAGTGGATAAACCGTAGCTTCTTTTGGTCTTTTGAGTTATAAGCTTAGTTCTAAGATCATTCTTAAGTAATGAGTTGCCAGATTTTCGTAAATAATAGAGAAGAATTCTCTATAACTTAAATTGTGTTTCAGGATCCTGCAATTACCAAGGCCTGTTAAACTTGAAGATCTTGCAGCTAAAGCTAAAGTTGCTTTTGGACAGACTATGGATTTACATTACAGCAATAATGAGGTAATATTCTGTGTCTTCTAAATTCTTGGTGGCTTCTACATTGATTATGTTAAGGCTGAAATCTGCTCTCATAAACAGTGAGAACCACCCCTGCGACAAAACTTATTCCCGTGACAAAATAGGCGTGTTCTCAAATATGCATGTGCAAGGTTTGTCTAAATTAGGATAGGCAGGAGATGGATGAAATGATTTATGAGGAGAGTCACATCCTAATGAATTGTCTCGGAGTTTATTGGGAATGGGTAAATTGCATTAGTCCTGTTGCGTGACTTTGGGAAAATTTCAACCTCTTTGAGCTTTGTCGTGTTTGTAAATTTAAAATAACATTTATCCTTTCTTGCGAACTTTTTTTCTTTAAGGATTAATCTTGTGAGATAATCACTAGAATGCTATGTTTAGTAATGTTTAGATTGGAAATTGAGGCTTAACTGTTGCTCCTGGTTCACAAAGGTTTCTTGGAAACAATGGTAGTGCTGTTAAGCCACTCATGCCTGACGAGTGTTACTTCCCGCTTTCCTTTAGAAGTTGAAGATGGAATTATTAATAGGAAATATGTTTACAAATGAAGCACCGTTCTTAGGAGTTTTTACCTTGAGTCAGCAGAGCGGATGGAGGATTATTCGTGTGCATGGTTATGCACAACAAAATTGCTGTATCTAATCTGCATCTTTGCAGAAGATGCCTGCAATTGCTGTTTCTCAGTACCTTACCAGGCACTTCTGTGAAACTGATCCTCAAAATGAAGAATTTCAACAGAAAGCTTTTGAAGATTAGGGAGCTCAGAAGAAATGGCCATTTGTGATGCTTTAGCCTTAGCGTTTTCCTCTGGTAGATGTTGGGTCATTTGAGCAGGTTTGCTGCGTGTCAGCTCTGCACTAGTTGGCAAATCATCCCATCACCTTTCAGAAATGTCATGGTAATAACCTGTCATTAGCATTAACAGTACAACTTAAAATAAATAACATGTTCATTTGTTACCAAGATGTTCCTCCCTCATTCTCAGTTCTTTTTGTATAAAAGTACTGCATTTCAGCTGATGTTGTATTGAGTATCACTGACTGAGACTGTTCGCAAGTGGAATAGACTCTTAAAAACCTCTATTTCGTTGTTCATTACAAGCAAAAGTTGTATTTTACACTCCTGAAACATAAGCCCAGTTTTAATCATTACAGAGCTCTGATCTTAAGTGCGCTTTAATGGTGTAACATTTTCTGTTGCAATGGTACATGTATGCCCAGTTAATTCCAGTTAAGTAGATCCAAGTAAGGATCTAGTGAGGGCTGCAGTTCTATATGGATCACATCATGCCTGATACACTTTCTTAACAAATTCTGGTTTTCAGTAGAGAAATCCTAGTGATACACCTTCAAACATATATAGTTGTAATATTGTGAGATACAAAAACGTGCTCTATGCTCTAGAAAATAAGGCTTGTTTTTATTTTTCTTAGACTTGCGTTATTTAGGCAATGACAAAAGCATCAACACTGTCATGTTTCTCTGAAACTTGTAAGATATTAAGCTGTACATATGCGAAATGTTTGCTCCTTCATTGTGAAAACTTGTTTCACCATGCTGTACCTATTAAAAGCATCTGAAGGAATAGTTCAGACATTTTGATGCTAACTTGAAGCATCATATAATAAATTTTATTTTCAAATTGTTTGGAATGGAAGGTAAGATAGCATCTGTTTATTTGTTTCCCTGCCCTTACCTTCCTCGTTTCTTTCTTGTGTCCTTTTTAAGACATCTTTTTCCCTTTTTTTGTAGCTTGTAATTCCATTAACCACCCAGGATGACCTGGACAAAGCTGTTGAACTGCTTGACCGTAGTGTTCATATGAAGAGTCTCAAGATACTGCTTGTAATACACGGAAATACACAGGTAGGAGCTGACAGGCTAAATGTCTTTTTCCTCAGTTTTCATATTGGGGTATAATTTGTATCTTTTTGTAAGGATTACATTTTTTCCAATAGTAAATATTACTGATTTCTTCTTCAGTTCACTTTAAGCATCTGTTACCATTTTGCATTCCCTCAGTTTTAACTTTTTCCTCGATCCTATTCCTCTCTCTTTGTTTGCCTTCCTTACAGTAGTAGAAAATGTTCCTTAATAGGATGATGGACATGATACGTATTTGAGAAGCAAACTTAAATTTGAGAATTTAAGTAACTGTAGTTACCTGAAATTGTGGTGCTCCTTTGTGGCAAGTTAAATGTTATAGTGAGCAGTAGCAGTGAACTATGGGCTAAAAACTGAGTTGTTCTGGTATTATCTAACACATCACAGCCGTGATATTGATAGGATTTATATACTAGTGCATATTGCAAATTATTTTTAAATATTAAGAAGGAGCTACTGAAGTAGATCAATGCTGATATAAATTGGCAAGCTTCTTTTCAACTGCTGGAATAAAGGAATGTGGTGCACAAAACCTACAAAGTCTGCTAAGAATTTTCATTGTCGGGAGTAAAAAGTAATAACTGCAGTTTGTAACGTGTATGCATTTCAGTCACCCAGTGTAAATAACGTGGAACCCTTGCCCTCGCTGGAAGATTTAGATAATACAGTGTTTGGTGTGACAGACAGAAAAAGGCGGCTGTCTGTAATAGGTAAGCTGCATATTTCAATAGCTTTAATTGTAAAAAGTTTTCTTTTTTAATACCCTCTTCATGAGGATCTTGCTTGCAAACAGAAACTGTTTGAATTTCTCTTACTCATCAGTGGCTCTACTACAGAGTTTGCACTCAGAGGAGTGAATTTTGCTTTTTAAGTCAAAAGTGATTTACATATGTATAATGCAGAACTAAATAATATGTATAATGCAGAACTAAATAAATCTATGCAGATTTATTTGAGGTAACTAATGGATATCCTAAAATGCTGATGCTAGTACTCCCCTTTATTTTCACATACAAGAATGAGTTACTGAAAAATCTGGGTTTTTTTTAATGTGGCAGTGCATGTGCTTGCTCAGTTTAAGAGTCCCAAATTTTTTAATGTTAATGTGTCAACATTCGTCTAAAATGCTTATTTTGGCATTGATATAACCTTTTTGCTTATTCATGTCTTAAAGTGACTGTGATGTTAACTTCCAAATTTAATTGACACTAGAGACTTTAATGAATAATTTTTCAGACAATTTGATTTATTATGTATATTCATGTTCTTGCAGACATAATAGTCCACAAAGAAAAATGGAAATTTTCAAGAATTAGAAGGCATTAGTTGACATGAGTGGTAGTGTTTGGCTTTTTTATTGTTTCAGAAGGAGAAATTTACCCAGCTAGATGTGCAAGCAAGTTGTATTTCTGTTCATATATAATAAAAATTCATTTTAATGCCACTGAGGCAACCCTGCCCCAAATTTTTCATAGTTCCTGAATTACAGATCTTAAATGCTTTATGTAAATCTTGTATTTCATAGGCATTTGGGAAATTTCTAAACCAAAAAGTGGTCCAGGCAGGCTTAGTGCCTGCGTAGCATTTGAATAAAGTCCCTGGATTCTGGGTTAGGGAAGAGACTGACTAACTCCTTCCTTTCCAAAGGTTCTAATACTCGTGACAGGAGTTCACCGCCCCCAGGATACATTCCAGATGAGCTGCATCAGGTGGCCCGAAATGGGTCCTTCACCAGTATCAACAGTGAGGGTGAATTCATTCCAGAAAGTATGGATCAGGTATGTGTGTGACATACTAAAATTTAAGTTTTTGTTAGGCTGATTTATGAAATACTGCTGTCCAAAGAGGATATGGAATTGTTAGAAAGAACTGCTAGAAAAGCTATGACAACCCTAGAAAACATGATCTGTGACCCAAGGTTAAAATAACTGTGGTTGTTTAGTCTTGTAGAACCTGTTTTTCCTCTGTAAGTCTCTTCAATTATTTCAGTATGTTCCTACAAGGAGAAAGATAATATTTTTAAATTTCTGTTATAGTGGATTGAGGTAGTGACAGATATAAATTACAGCAGGAGGTGTCTACATTAGAAAGCACAAGTGACTTTTTTTTAATGAGAAGGATATGTAATCAAGACTAGTTTTACAGTTTTCCCAGGTAGTTAAAGGAGGTTTTAAACAAGAGTTTGGATTGGTCAGAATTATTTGGACTCGGTTGATGCTATGTTGGGGTAGAGACATGGAGATGGTAATTGGCCTGGTATAATTAAGCTCTAAAATACTTTCCCTGGTCACATTTTTGTGTGAGGATCACAAATGTGTATTATTTTGTTCTCCTTATTTACCTCCATTGTTGATGTGGGATGTCAGCATGCTTAACATGAATAAAAGTCCTGCTCTCTGAATATCAAAATTGCCCTTAAAAACAGCAGGAAAAGATGGAGGAATGTAATGGCTCACAGAATTGGCAATGGAAAAAGAGATATTTTAAGGAGGAAGAAAATAATGTTGCATACCCAAATCACTTCAAGTTCTTGTTGACGTTGGCACCGGATTCACAAATGGCAAGAAGTGATGGATTTTATGAGCAGCCTAAATGAGAGACAGATGATAGAATAAACATGGAGGCAAAGTTATTGTGCAATTTGTTTCACAATTTAGTGACTGAGCTGAGAATAGAGAACAAATCTCCTAATTTCCAGACCAGGGTGCTATTCATTATCGTAGCCACATGGTCAGATCCAGCCCAGGCCTGGATTCATGCCGTGAAATGATTACTTTTGCCCTTGGCAAAATAATTTTTGGTCACTGACTGATCAGATGGACAGGTGATCTTTGAGACCCAGGATGGCCTTTCACTCCAAGGCTATTCAAGAAACATGTAACCTGTCAGGTACGTGTTGCTGTGTGAGGTGTCAACAGGGCTTGAATATAGGAGTTTTCTGTGGAAGCCAAGTTAGTTCGACGTCAGCAGCCTCAAGGGTCAAACTGGGGTGTTAGGAACTCACGGCCTCCCTTTGCTCCCTTCCCCTTAAGTTGCCGCATCACCTTGGCGGGTGTTGACCGTGCTGCCTACGGCTGTCACAGCCTGCCCCACCAAAACAAGAGGGGAATTTAGGAGTGGAGGGCTTGGCTCTGCTCTCCTGCTGATCTGCCTGAGCTCAGCTGTTCACACCCTGAGGGCAGACCCAACACCTTCTCTGCGGAAGAGATGATGGGTTGGATAGAAGTGGGCCATGGCCTGCCCCTTGGACCGTGCTACATTAAGTTATAGAAGTAATTACTATGGCAGCACAGGAGCTTTTTTTCCCTTTCAGGACCCACTGTTCAGCATGAGAAAAGAGGAATAATTGCTGAACCTATAGTAAATGTTGTCCTCTCCGATACAGGGTTCATTTAAGTGTCTGAGTTTGCAGAGTGCAAACTCACTTTCTGAACACTACTTCTGTAATAAATCCTTCCTTGATTGGTGCTCAGCAAAGTATGTGCCCAGGACCTTTAAGATGCAAGCACAGACCATAAAAATTGCGGGGATAACTACTTAATTTCCAGCAAAAAAATGGAGTCCAATTCATAGAAAATAATAAATGTTATATAGCATACCAAAACAAACTATTTTAGGAAGAAGCTTGTTTTAAGATGACAGATGAGCTTTCTGTTTTTGAGAGACAGGCTGGTAGAATTGTCACATTCAATAATTCAAAGTTTAGATTCTATTTCTACTTCTTAAAGATACGTAAACCATCTCTTTGGCAGTAAAGCAATCTGAAAAGGGAATGATGTTTGCCTGTCGTTAAATTTAAGAATTTAAGAGTGGTAGTGTGACAGAAACAAAACAAGTGTCAGCCAACAGAAGTAGCTGGTAATCAGGATACTCTTGATTGGTCATTTCTTTTTGTCTAGATGAGAATTCAGGAAACGCTGAAAAAGTCGATGGTTTTTTTCATTATATGACACATCTGGCCTAGATGGATTCTATTTTTTTTTTCCTGAAACACTTCTGACTGCTTAGCAATGAATGCTCACGACTTTTATGAAATCTGTTGTGTATCGGTCTGACAAAGTCATAAAACTATCTTTATTTGTCTAAATTCTAGTTTCACATGAAAGTTTATTTTGTGTGAAGCAGGATTTTTGTCTGAGTGAAAAGGGAGAATGTTTATAAATTTTGATCATTCTTCCATTTTCTCTTCAGTTCAAAAATCTGTGTAACTCATTTGGAGTCTTAACTAGACAGAAGTGTTTAAAAGCTTTTTACAGTATTTGATTTCAGCTGTTTTCTGTGACAGCTAGTTGGCCAAACTTAAGTCACATATTAAGCTGTCATATTTGAGATTAATCTTTTGTTGTGATGACAACAAAATCCACATTTTTTTTAACTGTCTCAGCTTTTTAGACTTCAGAAGCCTTGTTTCTGTTACTCTCTTAAGCTATTCTCAAGCAGATATTGCTGTAATATTAAGAGTCAATGTCATATACAGGAAGAGTGTGGCAGTGCAGCTTGTTATGTACAAAGCATGGTGGAGGATTAAGTATCTTAACTGCATTCTAGTTACATGTGAGAAAAATGACATAGTCCTTTGGGGATTGCAGAATGCAAAAAAACCCAAAAAACAGCAGCAAAAACTTGAACTTGTTGGTCTTTCTCTGTTTGTTACTTATTAGATGCTGGATCCATTGTCTTTGAGCAGTCCTGAAAACTCTGGCTCAGGAAGCTGTCCCTCACTTGACAGCCCTTTAGATGGGTAAAACTTATTTACATTCATTATTTATCTTCATTAGGGTGCATAATGTATCAGTTTTAACATGTAACAACTCTCCAGCAACAGCTGTTACTAGACTTCTTCCAGAGACTTCTCTGTAAGTTACAGACCATTTATAGGAGCTTATTGAAACTTCATTGCTTACTAATGCACAAAAAATACAAGTAGCTTCCTTTTGTCATGACACAAAAATTTAGAATTCACATCCTACATGTATGTGAAGTATGTTCTGTGGCAGGGAGCCGCACCACCAAACTTCCATTTCTTGGGTACTGGTGTATGAAGTGGGCTTCCCTCTTCCAAGGTAGAGGATGCCCAGTTCCAGAGAGAGAGTAGAATTATTTAGACTTCAACGGACAATCCTTTTCTTTGCAGTTATGGTCCATTCCTCTCCCTTTGTTTCCGTTGCAGAATTAACATTTATTTTTCGTTGTTTAAACCTGTCAGTTAGAATGAGGCAGCGAGTGCTGTGGTGGGTCTGGAGGTCTGTTTGGATTGACCTGTTAGGAGATTCACATGTTTTAGAGGGGGTCACTGTCCACAATTTCTCAGCCGCGGGGTCAGCCAGGCCATACTCCTGTTTGGCTTGTAGTTGGGGAGGCAGATAACCTTGGGTCTTATGTTGTGCAAATTGGCTACTTATTTATTTGGAACTGCCCTACAATAGTACTAATTACATATATTATTTAATTGGTAGAAAGGTAAAAAGTTGGAAATCATTGCCTTTGGCAATTAATCAGAGCTCTAGTATTCCATAGTGCCGTTTCGTTCGAGAATCTGTGATTTGAGGACACAGATACATTTGGTCTAACAGATTTTTGAGTTAAAAAATTAATCTCCATTTCATAAGCAAGAATAGAATAGACATGAAAAGTATTTTGTGGTTGGAGTGGGATAGGTTATACACAGTATTTAATGTAGCTACATTCAATAGAAATTCTACCAGTAGCCAACTTCTTAGTTTTTTGTGGGGCAGGGGTGAGTAGAAGGAGAAACAAAGCAATCTTAATTTGACTCATGTTTCTTCATCAAAACTTCTTTTGGTTGTTTTTTATTTACTTGATTTGTCACCTCTACTTAGTTTGTTTTCCTTTTTTTTTTTTTCTCATTCAAATATTTCCTACAAAGATGTAGGTTTTGTGTCTCCATTTAGCTTCTGTTACCCATTAGAGAGATTCTTACCAGAAAGAGGAGGACATTGTTTTGGTATGTTTATGGAAATGTACTGTAATCGGTTGGTCTGACTGGCAATCCCATCCATTCGTTTTGGTGGCTGGGAGTTACATACCAACTGTAGGTAAGAAACAATGTAAAAGTGTATGAACCAAATTCTTCATCGTTCTGTAACTCAATAAAATTACTCTCTTAATCCTATGACTTTCATGGAGAGAAGAGGAAATATTCTGGGACATTAATAGATTCTACATTTCTGTAGTTGAATTTCCTCATGAGTTTTTGTCGGCTGTATAAGAGATTTTGCCAGTCTATAAACATTTGTGTTTAGTCATAAAGGTGTTCAGTGTAACAGTGCTCCTTTGTGGCTTTACTTACGATAATTCATGTTTTTACTAATATCATTGCTCATTAACAGAGTCTGTTGCTTTCCTATGCCATTAAGCTCAATAAGCAAGCTTATGCATTGTTACTGATCTTGAGTTATTATTGATACCTGTTAGGTTTGATTTTAAAAATCGGGTTCCGTATTTGTAAAGCAGTGCAGCAACTTTTCATCAGTTGTAAAGAATTGTAAGACAGTAAGATTGGGTGTTTAATTACTAGGTTAACAGCAATTTTTAGATGCTCTCTGTTTTCACTTCCAGAGAGAACTATCCCAAATCTCGAATGCCAAGAGCACAGAGCTATCCAGATAATCATCAGGAATTCTCAGGTAGGCAAAAATCTCTGGACCATACTAGCTTTCTAGAACTCTTTCTCTTGCAAATAGTAGGGCTTAAAAGGTAAGTTCATACTGAGATGTACTGTATGCCACAATCTTAATATGGCAGGAGAAAATACGCACACGATAGAAGATACGGTGGAATATAAGATATTCCAAATGTTTTCTTCTAGATTATTGTAACACAACTGTTAACATACAGAGTGTAACTTATCTGCTTCTCTGAAAAGAACAAATGATGCAGTGCACAGGGGCACAGAACAGTTTGTTAAACTGGAGTGTAATATCTGCCTCTAAGTTGGCACATAACCTTGGTGAGTTTATTTAATTTTGGAGCATTGTGGTTTTACCCCAGTGGACAGCTAAGCACCACGCAGCCACTCGCTCATTGCTCCGCAGTGGGACGAGGGAGAGAATTGGAAGGGTAAAAGTGAAAAAACTCATGAGTTAAGATAAAGACAGTTTAACCAGGTAAAGCAAAAGCTGTGCACGCAGACGTAGCAAAATAAGGGATTTACTACTTCTCGTCAGCAGGCAGATGTTTAGCCATTTGCAGGAAAGCAGGGCTCCATCACGCCTTACAGTCCTGGGCAGACAAATGCAATAATTCCTAACGTCCTCCCTTCCTCCTCCTCTCTCCCACGACCTCCTACGGTGTGGGCTTGTCCTTTGGTCAGCTGTCCTACCCGTGTCCCCAATTTCTTGTGCACCCCCAGCCTGGTGAGGCAGTGTGGGAGGCCAAAAAAGCACTGATGCTGTGTAAACACAGTTCAGCAATAACTAAAACATCCCTGTTGTTATCCACACTGTTTTGGTCACAAATCCAAAACACAGCACCATAGGAGCTACCATGAAGAAAATTAACTCTCTCCCGGCCAAAACTAGGACGCAGAGCTTTCATTTTCTCCTGTGTGAAATGAAGATCACTTTGAAGTGCTCGTGACTTCTGTACTGGAAGGCACTGTAACGTGAAAGGGTGAAGGAGAACTGTGTACTGTGCTATAAATTAATCATCACCACTGATGTTGTTTTCGTATGATACTCTGGCTTGAATCCAAGTTGTTGTGCATGGTTCAGGATGCAAAGTGCAATGGGTAACCTTGAAAGTGCTTTGAAGTGGCTCTCGTGGACGTGCCTTGCTACAGATTTTTGCAGCAATTAGCTTCCATTGAATCTGAGGATGTTTTGTGGTTTTGGTCTATTATATGCTTTTAAGGCTTCTTTTTATTTTGTTTATGAAGCTTTATCCACATCACTGTGTGTTGGTGTATTTTTACTTTTAAGAATTCTGCTTAACAAATTGCACCACTTTCAAATGAAAATAAAACTATGTCTAAGAAGCATTTAGGTGGCAGACATAAATAGCAACCAAAACTGGAAACGTCAGAAACTAGTTTCCCTTTGGTAATCTTAATCTAATTTACTTATTTGTTATGGTTACTTTTCTAATAAGACGATCCTGCAATATTTTTTTTTCTTTCCTTGTGGCATGCTCTGGTATTCTAACAGTGGGATAGACAGCCATCGTGAATTCCATATTCAATATCTGTTCTCATGATTTGATGTGCAACAAAACCAGAATACTATATGGAGTCAGAAAAACGTTCACCTGGCCTAGTCTTTATTCTTGCCACAGCCAATACCAGACTTCTCTAAAGCCGTGGGCAGTACTCCTGGCACAGAATATGTTCCTACTCCTGTATAGCTTAAGGGTTCTGCAAATGCAAGATGCTCTTCTGTGATTTGATGGATTTTTTTTTTTCTTCCACAATTATTTTCAGTTCCTGTTTCAACCTGTATAAACTTTCTCAGTATCAACAGCATGTTCTGACAAGTTGTGCAGTTTGTTGTTTTATGTAATAAGCTCTTTGTGATTTTTTTTTTTTGGTAATAGAGTTCTCTGTCTCCCTTTGAGCTGTTGGTTTTTTAATCTATAGGGGCCTACATTCCGTATGGAGAAGCAATTTTATATCTTTCATCATCTCTGTACTTCTAAATATTTTCCGGTTTTACTGAATCCTTTGAAATGCAGCAGACCAAAACTCTGTTGAATATATCTTAATGATTTATAGGATTTAATTTACATCTTAGCCAATACAGAGAGTTCAGCTGCTGCATTATTGGAACTCTTATCACAAATCTTTACCCTGGCCTACGCTGAATTTCATCTGCCATTTTACCATCCAGTTACACAGACTATTAAGGGCTTTCTGTAATTCTTCTGTTGTCTCTATTCCTCAACCTGATTTTGTCACCTCTCTAGTCACTGTTCTGGTCAGAGAATTCATGTGTAATTACACTGCCTGAGTTGTAGCCCAGATTCCTGTGGAACTGCTGACCATTTACTTGCATCTTATCTACTTTTAACCAATTATTTATGCATGAGGGACTTTATCTTATGAATGCTTTTCTCTTTCAATAATTTTTAAAAGAGGACCTATCAAACATGTTTTAGTCGTTCAAACTGTGTTGACTCACCAGTTTTTCATATTTGTGCATCTTTAAACTTTATTCTTTGTAATCCTTTCTGCCAGTTTTCCTCTAGAAACTCTTTTTAAAACTGGAGTGGGTCAGGCATGCTGCAATCCTCTAACATTCTTTTAAGCAAGAGGTTACAAACCACTTGAGCTATTGAATTCTTGAACCTTTGGAACTTTTGGCTGAAAGACCTTTTAGTTCTTGTCATTTGTTAGATTTGTGGGTTTTGTTCAATAATGTGTTTTGCTCTGATGCTTCAACTTGAAATATATCCTCTGATATGTTCCTTCGTGTTTAAGTTTAAAATAGCAAACTGATTCATTTAATATGCTTTTATCACATTTTAAATTTTGAAATGTGTCTTTCATTTTCTAGTAGAGTATGATATCCCAATATTTGAGAAATTTGGAAAGGGGGGGACTTATCCCCGAAGATACCATATTTCATATCATCAGCAAGACTACAATGATGGTAAGCAACAATACTGCAAGAGTTCTGCTTTAGTAATCTGTTTTACTCTTCTTGAAAAAGCTCAGAAGAAAATTTAGATTGTAAAATCTTAGTGAATTAAAATATTGAAGAAATTGAAAACTCCACTTCTTTCCACAAACTTAACCTGCTAAACTTCTAATGATTGATAGAGCTACTGAGCAGTCTGACCTCTGGTAACGTTATGGATTACAGAATTCATGACTCTTATACATTGGCATGAAAATGTTCTCTGTGTTTGGCCATGTGCAAGTCATCCAGTATAAGCATTTTACTTTTGTGACCATTTTCTATCCAAAGTAGGTACATCGGTTAGTTTGTCATATCTTGTTTTGCTTTTAAAAAAACCAACAAAACAACAAAACCCCCCAAATATCGCAGAGTTCCTACTAACAGTTTCTCAGATTAGAAGAGTAAGTAAAATTGAAGAGCGG